AGGAGGGGAGAGACAGCTCTCTACTATGTGATGAATTTGGACTGCAGTACCCATTTTAAACACTAGGGGTCAGAGTTACACTGTTCCTCATTGTCTTTGCAGATTCAGATTTATAATATATTATGATCGATATTTATAAAAGCAGGTGTCACTTCCTCGTCGTGGGGGGGAGACAGGGAGAAAGAGAAACAGAGAGAGGATGCTCTCCATGAAGCCACGCTCCTCTTTCCTTTTGTTTGACCTCCACACACAACACCTCACTCTACTTTAACCGACTTCCACATCTCTTAATGTTCGTTAAACAGATTAATTTACTTTATTGTAAATACATGTTTTTGCACGTTACTCCTTGTCTCCGCCTGTCATTTGTCACCGGTTCTGAGCCGGTCAGGTCACTATAATGTTAGGATAACTAAAAGATCTCAGCTCCTCTTACTTTTTATTATTGCAACTGAAGGAATGATGCGTTCAGGTGTGATGTTTGGAGAGCTACACGATACATTTACAGAAAGATTTGAAGATGTTGATCTATTTTATGATGGGTTTTTTATTTTACAGATAAAACTCCAGGGCCTGTATTCACAAGCATTCTGAGAATCCTCTCAGAGAGCTCCTAACTTAGCTTAAGAATTCCTAGCAAGGAGCCTTAGCCTAGAAGTGATTTAGGAACATTCTCAGAGCAACTCTGAGCAAGTAATGGACGGAAACTTTTTTCTTAATGAGGAGGCGTGGTTGACCCCGATGCTAGGTATGCCACATTTTTTCAGAAGCTGTGATTGGTTAATCAGAAAAATTGAGATAAAAAAGTCAGACATAGAATCTAGTCAGACATTGTTTGAAATTAGCATCTGTGTGATCATTTGTAAGACGTACTTTAAAAGTATATAGCCTACAAGATGTTTGCAATCACATGCTCACTGAAAAAAAGTCTCTGTTGGGTTGTCTGCACAAATCCTTATTGTCTGTTCTGCTGGACTATGAGTCAAAAAAATTCTTATCCAGATATATTATATCCATTTTCTCCCTCACCCTGAGAAACTCTTCAACCTGTTAAAAGTCTTCCTCTGCACTCCGAACAGGTTTACACCTTAGAAGCTCTCTTAATGGCTAAGACACTTTGTGAAAAACTTTGACGGGAAATTCTTAGAAAATGTCATGATTCTAAGAATTTCATAGAATTTCTTCACTAGGAGCAACTTGTAGTACTTAGGAGGCTTCGTGAATATGGCCCCAGAAGTTTAATTTTGTCCTTGAATAAAGATTTTGCTGTTTTACTTGTGATGCGGTTCAGATTGTGACCACCAGGTGGTGCACTTCACCTTCTTTATACCTTTGAATCCTTCATTGCAGCCATAATGTTCTTTTTTCCTCCTAAATCATACAGTAACTTTTAATTCATTTCATATTGATACTTCAGAACTGTGAGGAGGTTCCTTCAAAATAAAGGACTGTACATTCCTTTAGTGAATGTAAACAGTTTTACAAAACAGGCTTTTTAAAGTGGAATAAACCTCGTCTCAGACTTGAAAGCATTTTTCAGACTGGGCACTCTTTTAAATCTGGACCTTCCCGGTGTTACGGTCCAAGGGAGTGACACGCCCCCTGAAGACAAGATGGTGATTTTTCAGTGCTTTTTATGGTCTTGGTCTTGTCTTGATCCCTAAAGTCTTGGGTCTCGGAGCCCTCTGGTCTCGGGTATGTCTTTGACTCTGTTATTGTGGTCTTGACTACAACAGGAGTGTAAATCAAATGAACAAACACATGAAGACAGCTGAATAACCTTTTGATCATGGTGAGAAGAGAAAGAGGGTCTGGGCAGCTTTGGAAAAAAAGAAACTTTATTTGGAAACTTGATGGAGAGAAAACAGAAAGAGTTTTAGAGTTGTTCATGTCTGAAAATCAGTTTTATTTACTATAATACACAGCGGGTGACGTTCAGAGTCAGGTGGTTTGTACACCGGCGTGACTGGATGAGATCTTATCGACAAAAAAAAATTAAAGTTGATTGATTGATGAAGAAACTACAGACGGACAGCTTAACGTTTTATCATCTAGCAGCTGCTGAAACCCCTCCCCCCATTACCCTCCCCCACTCGTCTAAAAACTTGTCCATCAGAGCGCTGTTGGCTCCGGCCCACTCGTCTCCTTCGCTCCCTTCGATGTGCCCTCCCATGTCCCCTTCTGTCCTAAATCATAAAACACTCAAATGGACTTTTGGCTGCGTTCCATTCTGAATATTTGTCTTCTTAAACTCACCCCGTGCCCTCCGTTTCACATCTCAAAGGGAAATTATTTCTCATCTGTCAGCGGCGAGTCCTGTTCCAGACACGTGTCCCCTTCAAAGTGTCCTTTAGAGTCCCATAAATCAGATTAGGGTCCGTGTTCAGGACGGGTTTCTGGCTCCGTTTCAGCGCCATCTTTCCTCAAAATCACAAGTGTTGCTTTTATTCCTTTGATGCTGAAGGTTATTTGGAAGTAATTCATTTAAAAACTGCAGACTCCACATGTTCAAATATCTTCTTTGGCCAAATCAACAACCAAAACAATGCCAATTATGAATTTCTTAAAGACAAATGACGGCGCAGTTTTGCACTTTAAGGTTTAAAAATCTAAATCTACACGTCTTCATCAGACACACGGGATGTTTAAAAAGATAATTGAATAGAGAATCTCCTTCTGACCTTATCTGGAGATGCTTGCAAACACATTAGAAACAGTCTTGTAAGAATCAAGTATCAAGTGAGGACACAGGAGACACACATCCAAAATGAAACATACCCCCCTGCACATTTTGAGGTTTTGGACTCTTCCCCCCCCCCCGTCGCTGACGTTCATCGAAACGACAACTCGGACAAATTTCAGGAGGAAACAGAGCCACGCTCGCTGGGTTTGATGCTTCCTAAAGGGATCATTTCTAAGTTTGTGCATCCTCAACTCGTTTCCTTGCTCCCTCTCCTAGGATCTTAGGACGCAACACAAACATAGAAGGGGGAGACAAAATATATTTAAGTAAATCTCTGGAGCATTAAATTAGGTTGTTCTTCATTTTTTTTGTGCTGTTTGAGACCGACAGTCTTTGTAAAAACAGATTTATTTTAAATATGTTCGCCTTTCTTTTTTTATCCATCAAGGGGGCGTGCTGAGTAGGTGTTGTTGCGACCTCTGCATCCTTACTCACAGCTCCTATCTCCTCCAGAAGCATTTTAGGAACTTAGAAATCTGCCTTTTTTTTTTTTTTTTTTAAGGAAGCCTAAGATCTCCGGGTCACATGCAGGAGGAAGGAGGAGAAAGGAGAGTAGGAGGTATGAGACAGAGGAATGAGGAGCGCCCAAGGTCACTTCACCAGGGAGTAGGGAGCATTCAGGACAAGCTAACGGGAGGACGTAGATTATAACTGAAACGGCGTCTGAGAGGGCGGTTAATTACTGCAGGGTGATTTGCAGGCTCGTGTTTGTGAACGCAACATTCAGAATATGAGGAAAAGAGCGAGTCACGAGACGGAGCGGCGAGTTAAAGTCAAAAAAGTGGTGATTAAGAGAAATAAAAACAGTGCTGCGCCTAGAAAAAAGACAGCCATTGTCACATGCACATCCGATGGGTTATTACTGCATGATTCTTTAAGCTGACGATCCGACTCGGTCTGCCTTCAACAATCACAGCTTCACTTTGTGTGAGAGGAAAGATAAAAGCTGATGATTTGATTTTTGTCTTTTCCTTTGGAGTTAAAAAAAAAAAAAAAAGAGAATCCCAGGGCGAGCAGCAGCTTGGGTTTGGGCTTTTAAAGTTTCATTTGAGATGATCTGCAACGACTCAGAATCAAAGTGGATTTCATCAGACCCTTCTGAGAGTCTGAGTGAAATCTTTCTTTCAGGACGGATTCAGAGACTGCTCTGAGTTTGTGCCTCTCATCCAGCGAGCTGAACATTTTTATCAGAGAGGTCAATCCCCGACCTCATTTCACACTCGACATCGAGTTGTTTTCAAACTCGTCTGTCCGTGTGAAGAGAATAATATTCCATCAGGTGTTTGTGATCTAAAGAATGTTTTGTTTGAGTTATCAGTTTAACTTTTAAAGGTCACATATTCTCTTCCTCTTCTTCAGTGTAAATAAGTCTCAGAGCTCCTCAAATCATGTCTGTGAAGTTTCTTGTTCTAAATCCACTCTGATCCTGTATTGATCATGTCTATACACTCCTCTATTTCAGCCCTGCTCAGAACAGGCTGTTTCTGTGTCTGTACCTTTAAATGTAAATGAGCTGTGTCTGACCACGCCCCCTCTCTAGAAGGGCTCGGGTGTCTCAGGCTTTCTCGTTCCATGCCCGATTGTTTACGGTTACAGCTGATGGAATATTTTCAAACCACACGGACAGAAGAAGAAAAACCTTTGACATCCTCGTGAGGTCAGGGGATTTACCTCCAAGAAAAACAGAATTTAAATATTAATAAAAGACCTTTAAGGCCTCAGAGGAGACGTTTACAGTTTAACCTCCTCGTTGACTTTTCCTCTGCCCTCGCTCTGCCTCGGAGCGTCATCGATGAAGTAAGCGACGAGGGATTTCTGCTTTTCGTCTTTGCATCAGAGCCGAAGAAAATCCGATATTTTAACCCCTCCCCTCCCCTCTGCACACACACACACATGCTCGCTCGCACGCACACACAAAAAGACGATGGTTTGAGTCACACCATCAGGACCACAAAGAAATATGATTATAGCTCGAGACAGATTATACAGTCCAGTACCCCGTGGTATTTCACTAAATCAGCAAACTCTGCTGCTGATAATTTCATATATATATATTTATACTTTCATATACTTCTTTCCTCTATTTAGGGAAAACTATTTGACATTTAACCAAAAATATGATATAAGAGTCGATTTGTTGCATGACAGAAAAGAAAGGTGAGAACAACATTTCAGTGGAAATGTTCCCCGTGAACCGAGAGAGAGAAGGATGCAGATCAGAACGAGAGCTCCTTTACACTTTCAAAGTTTTCATCTCTTTTTTTTTTCTTTTTTTTCTTTTTTTACTCTAAAGTTCTTTTTCTTTAAGTGGCAAAACAGAGACATGCAAAGTTTTAGTTTCCAACAGAACAACAGAAACAGAAAAGAGCGGGGAAGCGTCCTCCTCAAGGCGGAGGAAGTAATCCAACACGGAAGACGCGCGGTCCTCGAACCCAACAGACGTAGTGGTTTCCTCCATCATGTGCCGACACGGAGGGGTCAGAGGTCGTCCTCTGCAGAGATCAGGGGGAGTCAGTCGTTGCATGAAGAGTTAAAGAGACAGTTTGGCTGTAAAGTCTGATTCTGATTTGATTCCCTCGTCGATCCCTCCTTCCCTCTGAGGAGAAGGTGCACATTGGCGGTAACACAGACCTCAGGTCAGTTTACACACATCATCGTCATCACACACACACAAACACACTTAGACGTTAAAAAAGGATATTAAAAAAGAAGAATCCAAATGATAAAAACTTAAAGGACACAAACAGTCGTGAAATTGGCTCGAGGGACCTTTGACACAAATCGTGCATGTGCTGTCCTGTCCTGTAGGGGCGCTCATATGTTGTGTCATTTTCATTTCTTTTTTTTTTTAATCCAGAGCTTCCTGCTGCCCACACCTTTAAAAAAAAAAATCCACATTTTTCTTTCTCATTGAGTTCCCAAATGCACCGTTTGTTTGTGAGCCTGTTAGGCGTCGAGAGAAGAACTCTTCCTCTCGTCGACATGAAGAAGGGGAAGAAATGTTTTTCTGTGCTGAAATGTGGAGCTCTGCTGGAAAACTCCGAGAATTCTTTCAGCCAACAGAAAGTAGAGGAACAAGTCAGTGGAGTATGTCAGGAGTCGGTCAGTCAACGAGTGTCGAGGGATTGAATGTTTGAGTTGCAGTCGTGGGGGCGAACTTCCCTTTTCTCTTGTGTGGGAGCAGAGGGGGTGGGCTGGGTTTAAGGGGGGCTTGTGTGCTATTCATCAGGCTAAGGTAAGAGGAGAGTCTTTTTTATTTGCTCACCACGTATCTAAGAATCCCCAGAGTCCATGTCAGACCCTGCTTATCGATTACTGTTGTCGCTATGTGCCAAATCAAATCAGTTCATTCATCGGCTACTTCAGCCTTCGTGTCTTAAAAGGGCAAAAAATTTGTTCCAAAAGGTGACGTCTGATTGCGATTCTCTAATCCAGGATTTACCTCGATCTCACAGATTAGGTTTAATCCAACAAACGCTCGACGTGTCTCTAAACCCCGGAGCTCATCACCTCAAAGTCGCTGACAAACAGCTGCTGCTCATCCCCAAATCTCATTCAGGTTTTTTTTTTTTTTTTTTTTTTTTTAATTTTGTTTGAACAGTCGAGCAGCGTTTTGCAGAGCAGAAGACGGCTTCCATCGGCGGCTGGCAGCTCACACAAACATCCCCAGACGTCTTTTCCCAGCATGCTCCTGTGGCTCTTAGATGAGTGGGTCGGGGTGCAGGGTGTGTTGGATCTGCTGCGGCTGCAGAGGCGGCGGCAGCTGCAGCGGGAGCAGAGCCTCCACCATGTTGTGGCAGTGCGGCGGCGGCGTGCCCTCGCTGCTGGAGCTCTCGGCCACCTCGCCGCCGTGGAAGAAGTAGTCGCTCTGCACGATGAAGGACTCGATGACGGCCTGGTTCAGCTTGGTGGTGGACAGCGTGTCTTTGTTCTCGAAGTCGGGCCGCATCAGCGTGGGCCAGAAGCAGATGGACAGGTTGTCGGGCGTCATCAGGGTCAACTTACTGTGCTGGCTGACCCTGCAGGACGAGACAGGAAACAAAACGTTTACAGAAACATCAACAGTATTAAACGAGCGTGCTATACACTGGGTTGTACAGTGATGACCAGCCGGCCCTGTCAGGACGTCACAGAGCGGAGGCACTTTAAGCTCCATTATGTTGGTGTTTGTCTCCTGGCTCAGTGAACGGCCTTCACACGTGGACTAAACTTGATTTATGACCACAAACACTGACTGCTGGTCGACCTATAGGAGGTGAAGTAAATATAATGTGTCCTCTGAAGTGAAGGCGCGGGTGAGTGATGCTGATCAGGTCTTTGTCAGGGTGTGTTTACAGACTCGCTCAGCAGCCAGCTGATGTTCTCAATCAATATCTGATGAAGTGTGACAGCGTGATTAGAGAGCGCTGATGTATCGCTGAGTGAAGAGCACGATGAACAGTCCGTCTCTGTTCCGAGGAGTGAGTTATGATTATTTCATCAACTCAAGAGAACTCCGGCATGTTCTCACAAAACAGAAATGCTTCACGAGTCATCGTAACTGCAGGACGTGTCAAACATTTAGGGTTCAGATGAGCTGCTGCAAACACTCTCGATGTCACATCTGAAATGTTTACGTCCTGCAGAGAATCACATGGCAGTTTGTAAGCCTAAATGAAGTCTCCCGCTGTGATGTGTTCACTGTCATCGGGTAAATTTGAATGTCGAGGTGGTTTAGATGCTGCTGGAGCTCCACACTGAGGATTTAACTCCAAAACACACACTGATGTGTGTCTGATCTGTTTTGTGCGCTTACTGAACATGTGATAAGTGCATCTAAGCCCTGCGTGTGTGTGTGTGTGTGTGTGTGTGTGTGTGTGTGTGTGTGTGTGTGTGTGTGTGTGTGTGTGTGTGTGTGTGTGTGTGTGTGTGTGTGTGTGTGTGGTGTCTTACCTGTTGAGGTGTGTGATGATGTATTTGAAGACCTGGTAGTTCACAGGAGGAAACTTCTTCACGATCTCCCGCAAAACCAGCAGACGCTCGATGTAGTCCACGATTTCTGACACACACACACAAACAGACACACACACAGGGAAGAGAGAAGACAGAAGGTGTTTTATAGTTTACACACACTCTCTCTTGGGAAAGGAAATGATACTCTCTGGAAAGACAAAAGGCTGCGATGCTGCCAAGAGGAACTCCCACGCTGTGCGCACACACTCTCAGTGACCCGGCAGCGCGGAGCGACGTGGGCAGACACCATACGAGCCTGCACCGCGTCTTATTCTGCACCCGTTACTAACAAAACAAGTCCCATTTTACAGGCCGACACAGTGAGCACATCTGTGCATCACAGCCACAGCTGAACAGAGCACGCAGCACTTCTTCTCAGACGACTTAATTGTCTGATATCGGACATCTTTGTCAACAACTTTCCATCCCATCTTCTGTTTATTGACGCCACTCTCACTCATTTCTGTAAGGGGATTAATCTCCTTATCAGTACAGACCAACAGGACATCGTTTTTGTGATTGCAACAAACTGAGAAGTGCGACAATTTTGAGAAATGACGGGTTTGGCATTAAGCCGGAACAGATGGCTGCAGAAAGTTTGTCTGTTGAAACAAAATGTAACATAGAAGTGGCCTGCTGTAGTTTATTTCACCCAATGCATCGTCACAAAGTTACAGCCAGCAGGTCGGTCATAGGATGCAAAATTTGCAGACAGGTACTCGTTACTTAAAGGGATACTTTAAAAATTTGCATTAAGCTTTGTATCATTAGAAACTTGGTAGTATTTTTGAATGGTCGTGCATCCCACCCTCATTTTCCCCTGAGACGGGAAAGCTCTGTATTTCTTGTCTGAAAAGGAGCCTCCGATGATGCAGAGCAGGGGTGAAACTACATCGCTAGTTTCTCATGCTTTCAACCTGCCCACATGGGGCGGGACCCACTGAAGCTACAGACCTATCACAGATCAGTGGGTGGGACCTCAAAAACGCAACGTCCGCCATCTTGCTTGGAAGCTATGCTAACAGGCTTTATGGAGAAAGCTGAGAAGACAATGGAGGAAAGTATGTTTCAACTTCAAACTCATATGGATGAAGAGGATTTTGAAGGTCTTGTGCTCCAATCGGATGTTTGTGGATCGGATGATCTCCACAAGCCGCAATATAGCGACGAGCAGTTGAGGCTGATGGAGGAACCCGGAGGTTGCTGCTGTGCATTCTGGGATTTGGTGTCTTTCATCCACATGAGACAAAAAGACACTTTCTGCCTTTTCTCAGTCAAGAAGGCACCAACTTCAAAATGTATTTCACATTTCTACTACATATATGACCCAATGTCAATACAGATTCATGTTTCAACAGGTGAAGTATCCCTTTAATAACTAGTGGAATCCGGCGTTACTTTGTCAGCACAATGCACCGAGTCCAAAGCAGTGAGGAAGAACCGTGTCCTCGGTTTAATTGCTGAGGAGAAGGCGTTGGAGCCTCGTTCAGTCGGTGATCACACTCCTGTGTTAGTGCATTAAAAAAAATCCACCCGGTTAGCTCCTGCAGGTATCTTTGCATCGATTGAATTACCTGTTTAGCTGGAAAGCTCACAGTGATGAACAAAGACTTTGAGGTTTCATGCAGGCTGAGGGGGGTTGGGTTGGGGGGTTGGGGATCAGAGGATAATGGTTTCTGTATTATCAGGCCGAGTTGGAGAGCATCCTCAGGAACGGGATGTCAGCGTGGTACGATAATCTCTCCTGAACTCAAATCTAAGTTTACTCGTCTGGTGCAGAGTCAGAGAAGACAGTAGGTCTGCATCTACACCCCTCTTGAGTCAGAGTGACATGAAGGTTATGAGGACTGAAAAACCTTGTCTGTTTTTAGGCAGGCACAGAGAGTTGTCTCTTGAGCTCTTACCAGCTGGCAGACGATACAGAGTCCGCCGATGCATTTCATTCTGTTTCTACAAAGCTTTTTCAAACAGAAGACGAATGCCTTACAGAGAGGAAGAGAAACTTCTCGTGGTTTAAAATAATTCATTTTGTAAAAAAGAAAATGTAAAATTAATAACAATTAGAGAAAGAAAATGAGCAGGTCAAAAGAATACAGCGAGAAAAAAAAAGTGTGCCATCTTCATCCAAAGATTTCTTGATTTCTTTAAAGTATTTACTGTGGAAAAAGGTGAGAAATGTAAACAGGAAGTTGTTCAGCTGCTGATGAGCGATATATTTCAAAATACGTATGAAGAGGAAAACATGGCCGCCAGAGGCTGCCGTTATGTTTAAAGTGTTTAGATCTGAGTAAGAAAAAAAGAGACAGAAAGCAAATAAAGAATAGAAAAGCATGCGTCTGTATTCCTGAAAAGTAAACCGTCTGTGAGGTTCCTCGATATTCCTCGTCCTCCCCAGAGAGACGCTCACTTCCCCGCAGGCGAAAGCCCGTTGGAGCTGAAACGCTGCTCTCGCTTCTTCCGTCATTAAATATTTAAAGAGTAGATATGAAACACAAGCTTCTCCCGCTGGAGTGTCACAACAACGCTTCTTTGACACAACCCCGACCTGCATTCCCTGACTGGAGTATTCTCCAGGAGATTCCAGGACCAGGAGAAAGTCAATTTAAATCCTCTAACCGGGCGAGAATCGAGATCTATTCACGGCGATCGTCATCAATCATCTTAACGAGGAGCCAACGGGCGCCTGTGACCCTCTGACGGCTGTAAGAGCTCAAAGGTCTCCATTACAAGCTGCTCCATAACTCAGCGTTCACCAGAAACATCAAATTAAGAAACCACAGCGCCGATTTAACGACTGAAACTGATTTCATCAGATAGGAATCAGTGTGGTGGGAAACGCGCCGCAGGCTTTACTGATTGTCTTCAATCTAACGGCTTTAATGCGATTATTAAATATGACTGGTGAGTTAATGATTTCATTTTGTGAAACTCTAATATTGGAGAGAAAAATTAAATGAAAATTTTGAGTGTGCGTAGTTGGGTTGGTGCCGTACCAGAATGTAATGTAAAGTTTGATATGATGGCAGTAAAATAATAATATAAACGTCTGTTTGGAAACAACAGCAAACACATGAGAAATCCTAAACCTCTTTTCCACCAAAGGTAAACCTGTGACTAGTTCACGGGCGGTGCTAGTTCTGTGAACAAACGGTCTGAGTAACCATTACTGCACACGTCTCATGAAACAGACGTAGTTAGCATCGAAACGTTTTGGTACTTTTCGTTGCTATCGATAATTTAGATTACAGTTGTTAAATGTCAGAGAATTAAGTATTCACATGGACACCTGGATCTTTTGAAAAGAGTCTTTAAAATCCTCCACCATGAGCAGCATCTACGTGTTCACAGCTACAGTGAGCGGGTGAGATTACAGAAGAATCAAGGAAACAAAAAGGAGACTGAACATCTCAGAGAATTTATCTTGACCTCAAAAACGCTCCTGAACACAAAGACAAAAAGGTC